CTCATTACAATACAATTATGTTTGAATTGTCGTTTTAAAAGTTTTTTTATGGTGTAATCAATATAGAATACATAATTTTGATAAAGTACATATTTATCTTTCACTTTCATTCAGTTTCAATGTATGATTCGAGTTATTTCGCTAGATATTGGACTTTTTCTAAAAATCGTAACAACTAGCCCCGGTCTCCCATAAATACATGCATTTTAATTATTTTACATTATCATAACAGTGTCTTGTTCCTTTCATTTAACTCAGTCAAAGTCAGAGAATACAGTTTAACTCTGCTAAAGATTTCCTGTTATTCTGTGGAACTTATCCAATTACCCTTGGGGGAAATCAGCTCACCTGCAAATACCACAAGAGAAAATTTTGATGCCATGACTAGGGCTTGAACCTCATTTATTGCAATTTTCCATTTTAATCCTAATGAATATATTTTCCTGTACACTTCTAAGCTCTTGCATTATTGAGTTTAAGGCATTGTACATTAGAAAATGGCATTTTTCACGAGTATCAGGAGGAAGACTTCATTACTGTGGGGAGATCATTACTGATACTGCAAAGGTTTAAAAGTTTCTTCTTTGCTTTGACCACTGACTCAGAAAAGATAACTGCCAGAATCTGGTACACCCACAATGTCTGACCAAGTTCTCCATTGAGGCTCGATACAAGTGTTTAGAAGGCACAAATGAATGAGGGTTGTTGCAGTGATGTGCAGCCTGGTAAGTCTGAGAATGAATGGGGCAAATGAAGTAAAAAAGTAATAGTTTATAATTGGCAGGGGAAGAGGGGGTTGGGTTGTCAAGTGGAATAGAAGAGGGAACCAATGTTAAGTCAGCCAGAGGGGTACCACCAAGAGGACAAGACAAGTAATGTCCAGAGTCAAGGTCAGAACCTGAGACAAAAGACAGAAAGGTGAGTGAGCATTATGAAAAGTATAAGACCAGACCTGGCAGAAAGCAGCAACATCCAGGGCCAAGGGATGGAAATGAATGATCAGAGGATAGGAAGCATGAAATTGAAAGGATTAGCAAAAGCAAAGAAGAGTGGAGTTCCCAAGAGAGCACCCTAATGTACAAACTATGGGAGAAAAGACCATTCTGTGGGCTGAACCTAGTACAGCCAAGAGAGGCAGTCTGCAACCCAGTTCATAGCCAATAGTACATGATAGGTGAAAAAACCAATCTATTATGAACTGGCCTAATAAGGAAGAGCCAGAGTTTGAAAGCAAAGGGTCCTGGATTAAGTTCCCCCCATCAAAAGTCATCAAATAATGTTGCGTTGTTAGGTTTTATGTTTTGTTACATTCTGTAATAATTTTAGTTCCTAATTCTCAGAAAGCCAATTTTGAGGCTATGACAAAAAATATATAATTAGTGGATTGGAGTAACGAGTTAAAAGGTAATATGGGTCAGATTTGGGAAATTTTAAAAAATAAATTGCTTTTAATTGAAGACAGGCAGGTTCCTAAAACAAGGAAAAAAAAGGAGTAACATGTTAGAACAAATCTAATTGGCTTACTAAGAGACATAAAAGAAAAATTCCAGAATGCCATAAGTTTAAGATGTTTAAACTGAAAGATAGAATGGAAGCTTTACACAAATATAGGAAAGTTTGGGAACTGGTTGCAAACAAAAAAAAAGGAAATGCAAAAGGGCTTTTGAGAAATAGTTGGCTGATAATATTAAAACTAACCCTTATTTACTTGTAAAAAAAAACAAAAAACATATTACACTGATTTTCAGATAATTGTTTTCAAAATTTTCAATTTTTAAATGTGATCAAATTGGTAATTAAGCATCGAGTTGGGAACATTTTAATACAATGTAGAAATTAGAGTATTTAAGCAGTAATCTAAATCTATTTTGCTATATGTGGATTTGTTTTGAATGTATGCTATAGAAGTAAAAATAGTAAATAGTTGGTTTAATTCCAGTGTAGTTGTAATTTTTTCCCAATAGAAAAAATCTACCCAATATAACTTGAAAAAATCCATTTTTATTTCTTAATATCACAGCTACATATTTTAAAGCACTTGCACATATTTGTGACTCAAGTAATTACACCATCACAAGCAAATAACAAAAATTCCAACTTCAAATTCTTTACTAAGCACCATTTAGTACAACATATAAAAGTGACATGATGGTACAGGAAATGCATAGTAAAGATTTAGGGCACGATGCTTCAGGGAACCAAGAGGTTCCATTTTATACCTAACAACATAATGCATATGGTCTTTTGATTATTTACTAAACATGATGTCCAGTTTACCTTCTAGGCTTTTATTTTTAATATATACACTTTCGAAAGGCTTCCAGCCAATTAGCCACTCTTTAAATTAACCCTCCCATCAGAACTTTTTTTTGCCACACCAGCACATCCTCACTACTGTTTCTGAAGCTCCTGGAGTAATGCAGTATGGTAAAATGTTATTACTGTGATTCCCCATCTTCTTTTCTATAACACTTTACTGACTGACCATTCTAGAACAAGGTATAAGGAAACAGATTTTGTTCTCTTTTGAATATGTTTATTGTTCATGTATTCATTCATAAGTTAAAAAAATATCTTGACTTTTTCTTTTTTTCCATTTTTTTCAAATGGAGCTTTCATAAATCTGCTGCCTCATTCCCTCAATCTCCACTAGGAAGCTCTCTGGTGGCCACCATACACTGGCTATTTAGGGCAATGTCAAACACTTTACAAAGTTTTTACACTAAGGAGAACCCCCAAGTTATATGCATATGGTTAATAATTCTCCTGTTAATTGGTGGTCAGTATATGGAATATTTTCCTTCAGATCTGATAGAAGCTGCAACATTAAGAGGAGACTGGATGAATATTTTAGATATATGAAACAGGTTTTTGTATATAGTTTACAGCAGGGTGGTAGTAGAAAATCAAATATCCAAGTTGGACATATGGTTTTAATTTTCAAGGGATAATAAGGGACATCTGACATTTATAACACAGTTATCTCTGATATATTAATAAATGTCAAAAGGAGTATTTTAATAAATTCTTGATCTATGCCATTTGTACTCTCCTTTTCATAGAACTGTCTGACATTACTGGAACACTACATCCTTTTCATCATATGGCAAACCTGCCACACATGCATGTTTGGTATGTCCTTTCAGAATAAGTGGGTATAAACTATAGTAATAAAAATATGAATAAGTTAAGTGTGACAAAATGTTCAAATAGATTATTGTAGCTTATTTCATATACTTATATAGTATTAATAAAGAGTGGTGAAATGAATGTTTCTAACATAAAGTTGAACTTGGCATGGGTTAGTTATTACTATTAGAATATTCATAGCAGTGATCATAGATATCTTAAAGAATCTGCTTTAAAGTTTAAATATTTTACTTAAACAACAACAATAGTGTAACATAGATCATTTATAACTGTAACATAATGATTCTTTCAAAACCTTAAGTTATGTGAAATCATAGGTACAGTACAGCCTAATCCTAATTTGGGTTATGATGAACTTTGTACTAATAGTAATACTGTAAAAGTAAAACTTGTAGTTGTACACTTCTACCTATTATAATTTACAATTACTGATAAGCTTGTGCGGTGTATGTAAACAATAGTTTCATTTCAGAACTTTCACTGTTTTAGTTTCATAATAAAATACTATTAATATCAATACTTCACAAGATACTATTATTCAGTTATTGCTACTACTGAGTACTAATAGTGTTATGAATAATACTGGGAACACTAACATTAATGTAATGACAATTTACAAAGTACCGACTGAGAAAAAAAAAAGGTTAATGATCGATAGTAGTACTAGTAGATGATGTACCACAATAATGTAAAAAACATAAAACTCACCATGTATATCTTTTTGACATACATCCTGTGTACGTAATAATACTGCCACTTCTCTTACGTCACCGGCAAACGTTCTTTCGTGTAGTGGATATCTCTGAATTAAATTTAAATCATCCATTGTATGAATCTTACATCATCCACGACCACCTAATTATCACATTCTAACGGGAGTCTTTAAGTTCAGTATTCTAACACCAGATGTCACCTTTATATTATACAATAGTACCTTTTATCTTGCCAATAGCCAGTCAAGTATTAAAATTCAATAGGCCTAAAACATGTTATAAAGATATATTAACTGCAGATGTTTCTTTTCCACATCCCTCTTAATTTGTCCATTGTGGGTCAAAATGAAAATGTAGATCTGAAATTTTATAGGATACATATCTGTTATTTTAAGCCGCAATAACAAGATTAAGAAAAATTTGGAAAAAGAAACATTTGCATTTAACTAAATGAACAGCAGTGGCTCTGTGATAAATCAAGAATTTTTTTTGAACGCTAAAAAACAGCACAGATAGCCCATTAAGTAGCTTTGCGCTTAACTTCAACCAAACCGAAAGTTAAATTGATTTTACAACGCAATCCATAAAATAATTAAAATGTTAAACTTTGTTGAATCGCTTTATATTTAAAGGAGATAGTAATTTTCTACTTTTCCTTTCATGTACCAATGACAATATTTACAACACTAATTTTTTTGATCTAGTGATATTATTAATAATTAATAAGTAAATAAAATAAGTGGGTATGTTCAGGCGAAACTGATTTTTCTTAGATCAATGGAATAATTATGCTGAATAATAGGAGATTCGTCAAGTTATTTATCACAGTGTTTATCTGAATTTCACTGAATTCAATTCAAGACCTCAGTTGGTCGTGATTTGTTTGGTTGTTTGTAGTTTAAGCACATAGCTACACAATGGGCTACCTGTGCTCTGCCCACCACGGGTACTGAAACCTGGTTTCTTGGTTTCTAACATTGTAAATCCGGAAACATGCCGCTGTGCCACAATATAGAATACAAATGACCATTGTTAACTACTAAAACAAACACAGTGTGTGTGTGGTCAGTTAATTGCTTGTTTGACGACGGATTGTTGCTTTTACTAAATCAGAAATCATTCTCTTTCTGACTGATGACCTAGTTGTTAAGGCGATCAATTTAAAATCTGAGTTTCGTAGGTTCGAATCCCGTCACTCGTGGGGGCGTTATAATGTGACGGTGGGTAGTGTTGATTAGCTGCCTTCCCACTAGTCTATCACTTCTAAATTTAAAGTGGCTAACGCAGATAGGCCTCGTGTAGCTTTACGCGAAATTCAAACCACACTCTCTGACTGTGTTTGATGAGATCACCTACAAGACTGTGGAACTTTTTTTCTTCAGGGAAACGAAAGACTTACTGAGAGTGATTAGCACTAACCATTCTCAACAAAACTTCGAGCACATCATAATATCGAGGCAACATCTGACCTACCATTGGAGGACACTATTTTTAACTATTTGAACAATGTACAACGTTATAGACAAACCTTCTGTAGTCAAATCATGTGTTACCTCAATGCAATGACACAAATAAAGGCAGCTAGAATGAAAGCAACTTAATGACCTTCTAGACCATGTAGTATGCGAAAAGTGCATATATATATATATATATACATATATATATAAGAATGACTGAGAAAATTCGATTAATACTATATTAAGACAAAAAAATGTAGAAAATGCGTGGTATGGTTATATACCAAATAGAAACAATATTTGTAATATTAACATTTATTAAGAAATAAAATGCTGTCTATCAATAGCTGAGAATTCGAATTTAAAAATTCAACAGCTTTCATCAGCGCTACTTGTGATCTTCTTTACTTCAGATGATGTTTTTCATGTACATTATTCTCCATCAGGTCAGCGGTGAGTTTTAGACTTATAAATCTAAAATCCAAGATTCGAGTTCCGCAATATACAGAGGCAGTAAGTACATTGTGTAGATTTGTGCTAAAGACCATCACCATCACAGTGGTTCAGCTGTAGCTAAGCCAATGCTAATTTAACAAGAATGTACCAGCTGAAATCAAAACACTGTCATATTGTATGGCAGTAGAACAGCACACACACTGGGCGCACAGGCGCCAATTTCTAAAGAACTTTTTGGGGGAGGCAAAGAATGGAGATTATTTAACTTTTTTTTTTATCCATATCATAGACTGTCAAATTAACAAACATATCTAAATGAAAATGGGTCAACACAACTATAACTCACACCATACTTTATTATTCTTATCGTAATTATGAAACTTATGTTACGTCTCCGTTTGTTAATTGATTTCCCGTAAATTCGTTCGAAGAAACTTTAGCGACACAAGTCCTTTCTTAATAAAACTGGTTTATTCTTTCCGAATACAACTTTACGATACACTTAATTTCAACAGTCGCTCTATAAAAAACGTCTCACGAGGGCAACAATATTCTGTCCGCATACATTCAATTACTCATCACCTACACACACATTCACTGTCACGTCACGCCGTGACCATCTTATATATACCAGACCACCCCCAATCTAGCAAATGCTAGAGCACTCCCGAAGGAACAGGATAGTTCTAGAAACGTGGCGTGACACTAGTCACGTGACCTCGCTGACGCAACACTTATATAACCAAATATAAAAAATGTGAACACAATTATAATCTGCACCACCACTCATGTTACATTGCAAATATCTAAACATTATTAAAAATAATCTAACTTCAAATAGAACAGCATCTCAGTATAACAAACAGGATGTTTATTTTATAACATTGCAATATTGCGAGAAAGTATATATATATATATGTGTGTGAAACCAGAAGAAGTATTGACACGAGAGTTTCCGAATATGAAAAAAGGAATTGAATAGGGAAACACAAACAATGCCATTTTTCTTCATATGAGATATGCTGGTCATTAAATCAATTGGAAATAAGCATACATTGTATACAAAATAGATAACTACATAAAATAAAGAATCAGTGAAAGTTGCTTAATCAAAACACGCCTACTTTCTACAACTTCCAAGGTCACTTTAAGCTAAACTACTTCTTGACCTTAAGGGAATTCCAAGTTCCAGGATTACATAGGCATTGTTGACCAGTCTTCTTATCAGAAGATAATTTGAAACTGAAGAGGATGCAGGAATGTGTCGAAACTAGTTTCTCTAATATCAATATTTCAGAAAGTCTGTTCCATTTACTGTTTTTCGCTAACCATGGTACCATTCAAATCATATGACCATGCTACATACGTTACTACGCCAATTTACAGATGTTGTTGGGATAAAACAGCTATAAATCAATACAGCAGCATATTGTAATTTGGTTTGGAGGGTTATTTCGCCAAATTAGATATTCTGGAGTCAAATGCTCCTTGCTCCTATTATCTTAGCACCTATGGCCGGGTGTAATAATTGCTTGTTTATGGTCTGGAATAAACAAGACTAGATGAGTGGTTTACCGTGAAAGATCCTGTGTTGCTCATAACTCAATGATAAAGTTTTAGCATGATTAGATGGGAGTTCAAAATATAAAACAAACAGTAGCCATGATGTAAGCTAGCTAGGATAATTTGGCTTGGAAGACATAGTTGCTGATTAATAATAAGAAGTGCTCATCCACCCAAGTCCATTCATGTGTGTTAACTACGACATAAGCTAAGCATGGTTGCATAAATGGTTCCTATGATCATGGATGTATGTAGTTCCATAGTATAATTCAATTGCATTTTGGGTTCTTAAACTGCTGGGGTGGAGGAATACCATCTCACTGCAGCTGCAGACCTATGAAGAAGAATAAAATGACCGACTATGTTTACTTTGAAGTTTAACCTCAGTACACAGAAGACTCAGACAACTGAGGATTGCACTGGTGATGTATGGTCTACAAAGTTTGAGTCTTAATGAAGAAGTATCTATAGATTTCCCATGCATTTGCAGGGTAGTACAACCTAAGATCTGGTGGAATATCGAAGTGGCTCAAAGCATTCTTGTTTCTCTTAAAAGCTTTGACACTATGATCACTTTTTTTAGGCCGAAAATAACACAGACACGGCAGTAGCTTCCACTGACAAACACTAAGTCATTTCTAATTAGATCAGATTAATCAGATACTGTTGTTGCTAGGAAACAGTAGTTAGCTGGTGAAGTCTATGGTGTTGTTAAAGTCTTCTACCTAACATCATCTGCTTTCTCCATTTCAATATCATGCTTTTCCATCACGCCACTGACTGTCAAAGTTGGGTTCTTAAGCATCACATCTGGTTCAGGCTCATATTAGGAATTTGCATTTGCTGTTAAACATCAAAGTTGAGATTAAGCCTCGAGATTGCTTCATGTAACACTTCACAGGCATCGGAACCGGGGGTGCTATAGCCCCATTTTTACATATTTCACTTATATAGTAACTGTAAATTATATTATTATATTAATGGGGGCATACCCCCCCCCTCGATTGAGCTGCAAGCACCCTCACTTTGGAATTCCTTCCTACACCACTGTACTTCACACTTTGAATACTATTTAAACACTTTTAACGGAACTGTTAACATTAACTACATTTATTTGATTTTTCGTCTTACTGTCAAGGGACTTTATACAAATTTTAAAGAATGAAAACTAATAATCATAATTTCATAGACTCTTTCACGATTTATATAAATAAGTACGGCTAAATGAAACAGACTAGCTCAGTACTTTATGCTCTTTGCTTTTGTTTGTAGAACCCCCCATATGATCATCTTGGTTTCGTGAAAAGATTACTTGCGTTTTCTGTCTGGAATTTTTTTTAACACATTAAGAGTATGTGTACATAAACTTAAGTTCACTCACTGATAAGTCGATGCATCTCAATGAACACATGAAAATAAACAAGTCATAGGTTCCAATGCCACAAGCTTTCCTCGGACTAAAATGAAAGTATATTTTGCGGTTGATTAACTTTGTCTCTACTTTTTATGTTTTCATGATATCATAATGTTAAGTAACAACCACAAGGGGAAAAAGGCAAAGGGGGGAGACTCCTTTAGCACCTCACTTTTTGATACAAATTGAAAATTATAATTTTAGACGTGATAAGTTATAGTATTAAAATCCAGGGGACGTTCCGACAATTTCACCGAAGGATTTTTCTCAAGTTTTCTTTCCTTGCTTGAAACATTTTTCTTTGATTATAAAGATATTTTTCAATTATAGCGTGTCATCATTTAGTGCGAAGTATTGAACTTCCTGGTTTCTTTACAACTCATATCACAAAGTGATTTGCTAATCGGTCCTTCTCGCCGAATTATCTTTCCTAGCTACGGCACTGGACACAAGTACCGTATCAGTTTGCAAAAACTCACAGTTACTGGTAAATTCTCTGATTACCGACCAAATCCTCAC